TTTCCTGCTTATGCAGGGGGTCAGACTCGATGATCTATTGAGGTCCCTTCCGACCCGAACATCTATGAATCTATTAATTCTTTCCTTTCCCGTCTAAAATATTTGCCATCCAATTGTGAAGCAAAAGCAGTGCTACTGATCAATTAGCTACCATGAATAGCAAAGTGCTGAAGGGAGCAATACACAAGCAACTCATAGGCTGAAATTTGCTTACATACTGTATTCGTGAAAAAATGAATTAATCAGAACCGGGATTGGTTTGGGAACATCATGCTAGAAAAGGAACAGGCCACGTTCATAGGTTAATTTATTCACAGTCCTGTGCAGAGAGAGAAAGATCAAAGCTTTTGCTGAGAGTCTGAATGGGATTAAAGTGGTGCAGAGGACTGTTACTAACCCTCTTGAATTCCCATTAATTACTAATTTGATCATCTTTGTGTGTGATCCCATGTTATGAGTTGCTTGTACTTACAAAATAAATCACTTGAGTCTAAAAATGAAATAATGCAATTTGGAACAAAGCTAGAAATAGCAAGAGTATTTTCTATATTGCACTCTCTCAGGGCTACTCAAGGGAAATTACTTAGAAGAACTGTCATCACAGGATTAACTTGGTCTCTCTTTATAAACTATTTCTATTCTCCAAAGGCAGTGTGCCATTTTTCCTCCTCTTCTGGTATTTGATTCTAACAGTGAATTAGGCATCATGCTTGCATTGTAGGAACAGCTTTGCGAGTAAATGTTGTCTTTTTCTAGTGTGTGATTGTCTTTCCTCTACTGCGTTTTTTCACTAACACCTTTTTTTCTTGCAGACACGTATTAGGACCTTTTTTGTATCCTTGTGGTAGCTTACCTTGTGTGCTCCCTGACAGTGTCATAAAGGTCTCATTATATGCAGTAGGAAGTTTGGAAATGACTTTTCACTGTATTTTATAAAACGCATATCATTTTTGTGCATCTTGTCAGTCAACAATGCATGGCTGCAAATACGCAAATCAACTTGATAAAAAAAGCGTTTGCCTTCAGTATGTTCTACTGACTGTCCAGTAAAGTTTTCAGGTGAACAAGTTTCTAATCTCCATTTAGTTTTCTTTCTAGTGGTAGGTCAGTTATTTGTGTAATTTTACTGTTTTCATCAAAATCTTGCCACCAATGTCATGAGGACAACATTGGGCGAGTCTGGAAACACTTGTAGATTGGATGGAAGTTTCTTTGTTAAACATCTCACAGCTCTCTCAATCTATAATGGCAGCTTAATAAGCCTGGGCACTTTTGAAGGTAGTTTTTTGCATTTTAGTAATCTTTTTTACACACACACACACACACACACACACACACACACACACACACAATCTTGCCCTGAAAAGTTACCTTGTAAGAAGAGCAGCGTTGGATTCCGTGTTTATGGTTTCTCAAGTATTCCAAATAAAACCTACTGTGTTTTCAGTTAGAGAAATACCATATATACTTGCAGTACATTGAGCTGGGTTGAAGCAGACCTGGGCTGGCAGGCTGACATGGGTTGTTCTCACTTGGCTCAATGTGCAGCACACATTCAAACGTGACACCCAGAAATGATACATTCTGGAACAGTATGTGCTGGAGCTTATTGCTACGCATTAATTGCATGTGTAAACATGCCCAAGGAGACATAATTTAAGACATTACTTAAGCCTGCTTAATAAGATTTACTTTCAGAAACACTTTGCAGAAAGAGAATCATCATTTAATACTGAATGCTTTAAATAGGCCTAATATAATCTAATTAGGATATAAGCAGTTTGGGGCAGAGAGTCTTTTTGTTCTGTGTTTGTCCAGTGACTAGCAGAGTTCTCTCAATGGAGCTCTGGCTCCACCACTGGGGCTCTCAGACACC